AATTCTGTTGAAGTATGATCAATAAACATCAATGTATTAAACCTGAGAGGCCAAAAATAAATAACATTGTTGTGACAAAACACAGTTTAATGAATAATTAAAGTAAAGAAACTTGTCAATAAGCTTTAAAAAACATTTAAAAAAAAAAAATGCTGCTTTGCTACACCCAAACCATCTTTTTAAATTACCTTTGTTAAGAGGCATCTATTGGTGACTCAGGTCAGTGGTCATGTCTATAAAGCAAATTCTACTTTAATGGCCAAAAAAATAAAAACAAGAAATTAAAAGAGTGGGGGAGGTCATTTGCAACATCTTATCCCCCCCGGGCTCTGACTCCGACAAGCAGACGATAGACGATTCTCACGATGTTTCTGTGAAGATTTGGGTTAGGTCTCACTTGTACCCTTGAGTATATTGCTACTTATTAATATTTCTAAAACACAACATGCCAACCTACGAATTGGCCATTTTGTACAAGACACTGCCGAAGGTAATTTAATTTTTCATTCTGTATAGTTGGGTTTTCTCCTTAAATCATTGGTCTACTGGACCGAATCCCCTTTTGGTAATTGGGTAATACGACTCTCATAATTAACTCTTACCCTTGTCCAATTTTAAACTGAACCAATTTCTTTCTCATTCCTTTGGATTATTACTTAACAATTAAGATGTAAACATGAGTCATAGGAAGGTTTTATCATTTTTTCTCACAGTGGGTTGTGTTGATTTCTTTAATTTTGTCATTTTGTCTGTGCAGGATAAATTAAAAGAGGCCTTGAAGACTACTGCTAATCTTATATTCCAGGAAGGGGGTATTATAAGAAAGCTTAATAACCTTGGTCAGCAGGCAACTCCGTATAGAATGAGTGTTGAGGGACACACAGTGAAACAAGCAAAGTTAGTGTTTTCTGCATCCTTTCGTTTTGACTAATATGAAGTTACTGTTAAAAGTATTTAATCAATGGTGGCCTATTACAGTTATTTTGTATATGAATTTGACTGCCCTTCATCATCCGTTCAAAAACTGCTCATGGAGTTTAAGAAGTATGATTCTATGGCAAGAAGTACTATATTTTCACCTGTCAAACCTATTGACTTCTCAGCTTGCAAACTTGAAGAGGAAACACAGATTGCACCTTTCAGGTAATATTATTTAATATATTTTTGTAAGTTCTGTTATAATGATCAAGTTCTTATGTAGAAAATTGTATATTACAGAAAAGACGTGCAGGATATGCTCAAACGTTCAAAGAAAGCTCAAGAAGAGAGAGATAAGGGAAAAGTTAAACCTAATCATGGTCTAGGTTTTGATCCATTTTCTTTGTGAAGTGCCAGTTCCTTTCCTAGTTTTTCATATAATAAATATAACTAATTCTACCTAGCTAATTTGTTATATCATTCCTCATCCTTGGCTCGTCTACTTGGAGTGGGCGAGTGGGCAAGCCATCACTCTTGATTCATCATTAGCCTGTTAGTCGCTGCATACTAAACTTTGAATGTTGCAATCATATATATCCAAAAGGCCTCCTCCCTTGCCCCCTAATATTTTAACACGTGTTTCTTCAGTATATTTCAAATACATTTCTTTAAAAAGCGCCACTTTTTGCAAAAGGCACCGCCTGTTGCGGTAGGTAAAGGAAGGGAGGGATCTCTGGAGCACCCCAAAAGTTTTGTTGCTTTAGTGCTTGGAGAGGATCTACGGTTTTCGAGACTTGTCGAGTCCTCTGATTTGGAGACGAAAACTTGCCGGGAAGTGAGCGATGGACTGCCTACCACTCAGGTGGCTAGTGAGCGTAACTCGCGGCCCTACAAGCGGGTAAAAATTGCTACCACGTTCTCTTCACATTCCTGTGTGGTGGGTTGGCCTACCTTACGTGTAGCAGGTGATATCATGGGCTCTGCCTCAAGCTTTGCCCCATGAGACGGCCACCTGTCCATATTTTCAAGAGACCCCTCTTAAAATTCAAGTATCTGTGGACAGGGGGGGGGGGTGGATCTCGTGGAGTTCTGTGTCTGACGGCGTAGTGGTTCCCGTCGAAGGTGGCAAATGATTCGGCTTTGGGCCGGGGTTCTACTCACGGCGAAAG